TTACTTATATTTGTGAGGTGCAATCACCTTATGCCTTTATAAGTAAAAACTTGAGTTTGGGCCTCTCATGTGTTATCATTGGATTTTTTATTCTTTTCTCAGTGATTACTAAAGATACTTGAGATTTTTTTTTGAATGCATACAAAGATTCAGTGGGTATTTGTTTTATTCACTCAGGCTTCTATTAAAAAATGCCAGAGATAAGATGGTTTATAAACAAGGGAAATTTATTCCTCACAGTTCTGGAGACCAGGAATACAAACTCAAGACTCTTGTTTGATTCATGGTGAGGATTCACTTCTATTTGTATGTATCTGCTTCTCCCACAGCCCTCTAAACACAAAGGGGAAGGGAAGTCTCTGTGCACATATATGAGGGCCTGGCACTCATCATATTACCGTCTTCCACCTCTTAACATACATTAGGGTATAAACATATGAGTGGGGTTAAGGGCAATAGGCATTCAATGCCTTGCATCACTGCACCATGAGACATTGTACTCTACAATGAACATTTTCAGTGTTAATGTCTCAGTTTCTTTTGTTACAAATGTTTTACATACTACAGTTCTTTTTTTATCATTTTAAAATCCATAGTATTTAAATAACAGTATATTTCAATAAAAATCATAATTAGCATTGTTTAAATTCTTCGTTCAGTTTTGTTAAAGTTATAAAATGAAATGGCAAAAAATAATTTGAATCAGAGAAACTTGAAAATCTTGCTGTAATTGATGTAACAACTCCAGCAAAGAAAGCTTAGTTCTGATAAATTTTTATGCCATCATTTTACTTTTCTTCTACTAATTTTACCTAATAAAAATGCTACTATCAAACCATACTTCTTTTTATAATTCATAAACTCCACCAATATCTTTTACTGAAAAATGTAAAACATGTAATTTACTTCCTTTATAATCTGTATCCAGCCTTATTTATATTACTTGCATCCCACTTTTTGGCCCCCAAGACAATGTCATAATGGATAAAAGGTTTTAAAGTGCTAACTTCAAGCCCTAAGCGATACCAAGGGCTTCCATATCATACCCCATTTTTCAGAGCAAGCATGTGTGGTGTATATTGTGCATTATATTTTCAAATGCCTGGCACCAGTTTGCAATGTCCTCTATTGCATGACATGGTGTTCCTTCTACGGTTTTTCTCCAGCTCTGAGTACTGTCTTTGTTATTGTTTTACTTTAAGTGGATAAGTTTTGTGGAGTTTTTAGCAAGTGAAACAAAAACAATTTTAATGAAAGTTCTTCTTTTGTGAAATTACTCTTCTGTTTTTCTCTTGCATGTTTAGTGATATCTCGTTTTTCTTTTTCTTTTTTTTTTATATATGTAGTGTTTTTTTTTTCCTCATTGAGTTTGTTGGTACATTTTAGGTACACAGTACAGTTACATTCATCATTGGGATCTTGCACCTTTACATGACAGGTCTTGGTTCTCAGTTTTTCACCTTGTCCCATTGTTTTTCTTAATCACTTGTGCAGTAAGCAGTTGCTTAAGAATTTGTCACCATTTAGCCATGGCTTGCAGTCTTGCTTCCCTGATCTAGAATGGCTGAGAATTTTTTCCCTAGAGGTGTCACCGCCTTGCTTCCACAGGAGGGGGTAATATTAGACTGGCACACTTCAGATCTGTGTCGATCACCTCTCTGTAAGGCTCTGTCTAAGGTAATTTCATTTCAATTTTGGGGGGGACTGGAAGCTTTCTGTTATCCTATTTTAATCTTCTAAAGGACAAATCAAAGTATCTCATTAAAACAAAGACCAACAGCTTTTCATAATAATCCTGAAAGGGCTGATCTATTTTAAACTTGGCTAAAAGTGATCTTATTATAGCTGCCTGTGGTTACTTAGAGTCCCAGGTGTTAACAGCTGATGGCAGTGCAGATGTACCTGTGTTGAACTGTAGATCACAGAAATTAGATTGGCTGCTATTTCAAGCACTTTCTAAGCTTCTACTTCCTAATGATCTCTGAAGCTCATAAATATTTTCAACTTGTGCTTATCTGAATATTTATTGAGTACAGAAAAATAATTTTCTGTATCATCTTGTGTGAAGTTTTTACTGTGCCACAATCCTCATGGTTTATTTTAAAACACTGGTTTGGAATGTTGCCATTACACTTCAGATATTCACACATAAAGAAGTTTAACTTAATTTTCCTAACAACACATTAATTAGCAGTATACTTTGATCACTGTATGTATATTAGAAAGTATATTTGGTGAAATGAATTTTAAATTTCATTGATCATTCTGTAATTATATGAATCGATCCTGCATGTGATTAGTTGTTTTGTTATATTATAAATGGGAATATTTATCATAGTAATGCCATATGGAAAAAATCAATTCCTTGGCAATAATGAGAATCTAATCCACCATATTGATTATCATATTACTAAGAATAAGAGCTTCTCCCTTTTTTTTTGAAGTGTATTATTGTGTTAGAGAGTGATCAAAGGTAAATATATATACGTTTGCTATTTTCAGAAAATCTATATGAGTAAAGCCAATTATTATTGCTGTGTTATACCTACTAACTTTGACACAAAGATGTTAACTAAGTTACCCAAGGTAATTTATTCAGGCACATAAAAGAAAAGGAAGGTATCAGTACAGTATCTGAAACAGTAATTTAGAAAAAATAAGTGTAAATATTTGTTTTTCCATAGGTTTTATTTTATTTGAGTTTTATTGAAACAATAATGTATAATTATAATAATAGGTATGATTTAGATTCTTCAGGACCAAAATTTGTGGGCAGTGAACTGAATGTGAGTGTGTGTATGTGTGTGTGTGTGTTTGTGCATGCGCAACTTATGTACTAACTCATAAAACACATCTCTCATATGTGTGTATATCTATTTAAGAGACTGAATAAATTATTCTCATTAGTTTTAGAATCTTTGGTATGCTTCTTGAATATTAGAACACCAATCAAATATGAAATCTATTACATAATGCCCAGTAAGCAAAATTCTGTATGAGCTTATAAATGGCATATTCTTTCATGCAGTGGGATATTGTACTTTATGAGAAGATCACATCATCATTTTTCTCACTGACGTACAATCGAATGCACTTGTCAACATGTAATGTGTACTATTTTTTAAGCAGCACTCATACAATTAACACTCATGCATACTTCTTCCCATATTAGTAGATATCAGCACATCAAGGCAATTGTGCTGCTAAAAACAGTGACAGCCTAGTGAAACACTGTCATTCATTATGTGCAAACTATGAAAAAATAGAAGGAGCCCACCTTTATCTCAAGATATCAATAGTCAAATAAAAGGAGGACAAACCTTCTATAAAGAGCCCAACAGTAAATGTTTGAACTTTTCAGACCACAGTGTACATGTAACACCTATCAATTCTATCCTGAAAGCACTAAGCTACAAACAAGTAATAACTGTTTTTGTGCTGCAGTAGAATTGTGTTTACCAAACTAGCAATGAGCTGGATGGGCCCATGCGTACCTCTAGTTTGAGTGCTAGGACAGAAGCAGTAGGAAAGTTAATGTTTTAAAGATTTCAGCACTTCTTTAAGATATTAATGAAAGAAAGATAAATATAAAGAAATTTTATGATCCACCCAAATATAAATGTTTTGCCTCCTCTTAAAATATTTTAATATAGTACAACTCTGACTTTCAGTACATCCACAGTTAAAATAATCATATTGTCATATTCTTTAAAATGTATTAGCATCGCAAAGAGTCATTGAAAATGAATGACATAGTACCTGGTCTGCTTCTAGGACTCCATTATTGATAGTCAAATCCTCAGATACATTAAAATTTCAACTATCACAGCTACTCTGCTGTACCATAGCAGCATAAATAATAAAGTTGTAGACAAGTAATGAGTGTCACTGTACATATGTTCTGGTAAAACTCTATTTACCAAAATAGATGATGAGCTGGACTGAACACATGGGCTAATGCTTCGAAGTTTATTTCTCCTTTGAAAAGATCCATTGGCATTTGATTGAAAACAATTCTGTCTTCATTAGCATTTGAAAATTTATTGTATATTTACATTTTATTTTATTCTTATTTAATATGAAATAGAGTACATATTTCAAATAAGGTTCAAAATAGATTTTAATCAGAAGACTAAATCTGCTAGCACATGGTACCATCACTGAGCTCCCACTACAGTTCTCTTGAAATCACTTTATATCAATGTGCTATTCATAAAAAGTAAGAGAAAATGGATTTTACTGAAGCACTAAGTTCTGTGCTGTATTCTGCCATCAGTCTCTGTGGTTTCAATCAAGAATGTTTTGTTTAACACTTTACTTTGTTTTATTTAGACGTTTTCCTAAGCAGATGTGGAAAATTAAAGTGAATTTCTAGCATTGACATATCCAGAAAAGTACATGTATTACAGTTTGCTTTTTCTATATAGCTAAAGCTCTGAAAATATTTGGAGGTGTATTTTTACAATCTGAAAGTGTAACTTTAAATTGGTGAACTTCTGTAAGTAATTGGAGATATCGCATAACTTTTAACACAAAACTTTTAACAGACTGTAAGTCATACCACTCGCGTGGGTCAAATGAGTAAAGCCTTCTTCTCCCAGTAAACTTTCAGGATACACCCAAACTGTCTTTAAAGGACTAGTTAGAAAGTCTTTCAAATATAAATTTTGAGGGGATTTCAAGGAAAGATATTTAGATGAGCATCCTTCTTTATTGGTATGACTATGTTATTTGCATATAATTAAGTCAAATATGTGGGCTCATACTTCCAAATGAATCCTGATTTGAAGTAAAAATAAATATGTTACTGCTGTATACTTCTTAAATCCATAAAATGCTTTTCAAATTAAAAGGCATTGAGAAAGAATTTGCTGTATGAGTTGAGGGATTTTGCTTTTGAAGGGCAAAGCTGACCCCAGAGTGAAATCCGCAGTGTCTTTATGCTGTTTCTGAGGGACTGGGATCTCTTCTTATCTTGGGCTCTCTTGTTTGCTTTTCAGTTGCTGCGAATGTGGCTGTGGGAGGGCTTCTTCCCTGTGCGCTGTTGCCCATCCAAGCCTAATATGGTTAGTGTTCCCTCCCGCTTTCACCTCTCTGTGATGTCCACTGTTCTGTATAACTGTCAGCATCTTTTCTTTATCCATTTGTGTACGTTCTGGTAGTTGGTGCACCAGTCACACTTTAACAGTGAGGAGACGGAAATGATTCCTGAAGGTTAATCCTAACAAGTGATTTCACAATGGATTAAAGTAAGATATTGTGCATATAGCACATCATACTTAGTCAAGCATTCTTATGTTCTGCAGCTTTTACATGGCTCTGATTTGAGGCAGGAAATTATAAGATTATAGCAACTGTTCTATATTTGACATGTCACTGTTTTTGTTACTCCATTCAGCATATCACACATTGAAGTAAAATGCTACTTCTGTCAAGGTTAAATCACCTTTCGTGTCTCCCAGATCCATGGAATGACCATACTGTATAACTGGAACCTTCTACCGTCATGATCATTGTCAATACATGTGACATTGATGACTAAAACCACATGTACTTTTTAAGTGGTTTGCTGCATTGTATTAAATTTTAATTATTTCAGATATCTGAAGTGATATTCCTATTTTGATACCACTGATGTAAAAAAATACATTTATGTAGTTAGTGTCCAAATGGAACAGTCTTAATTATTTATAAATGCAAATTTTAAATGTGCATCTGAGTTGTTAATGTGATACCAAGGGCTGGAATCTAGGATGTGAAAACTCTATTCACAGATTTAGAGAGACTTCCATACAATAGTGAGCTACCTTGTAAAAAGTTAAACACTCTAAATCATTGCTCTGTAGATTGAAGAGTCTAAATCCTGGAAGAACCATTCTGAGTTTTATCCATAGTCAAAATTTGCCAAAAAAAGTTCTCTTAAATTGCATTTTAGGGAATAATAAGGTTCTATGATGGCATTTTAAATTGGTACTTATGACGTGTGGTTATAATTTTGGTGGATTAAAACACCTGGTTGTGTAAATGAGTGTGCACCATGTGCACATGTGAGACATGGTGGGCTGGATGCAGGAAATCTTCTGAGACAGCACCAGACTGACGTAATTCAGAGGTATTTCAGCCTCTTGAAAGTTGTTTGTATTTGCAGAGTCTTGAAGATACTGGGAAAGTGCAGATTTGTTCGAGATTATTTAACGTATGTAGGGAATTCAGTGATGAATTCAGGAAAGCACGGAGCTTCAGTGATGAACAAATAAAAACTGGAATCCAGATATTCCTAAAATATAAATTAAGTGACTTTACATCATCATTTTACTGTGCTATGATAAGCTGCAAAATGATTATCCCACTTCAGTCTTAAGTGCGGTTGTTATAAGAGAGAAATTACCACTAATGTGGAGTATGCAGAATTAATATTTTTTAAGAAATGAAGACAGACATCCAAGCCTCCCTGGAATTAAGACTCAGAGATATTTAAGAGGGTTTGAAGATTCATGAACACAAAATTTTAAAAGTATTGTCAAAGATGGCCTATAGCTGAGTTAAAATATTTTATTTTTAAAGTGCTATCTTTCTCCACCCTCTAGTTGGAAAGAAGGAAAGTGGGAAGGCACTTTTTTTGCAAGGAATACACACACAAAGATTTAAGCATTTTTCCTAAAATCTCCCCTCAAGTGATGTTAGGAATTGTGCAGAAAATGCATGTTTAGTTTTGTGCACTCATACTTGTGAGCGAGTGTGTATGTGTGTGTGTGCGTGTGCATATGGATATGTGAGAATAAAATTATTAAGCTGCAAATCCTCTTAGGTACTCAATGAAATGCTAAATCTTTGTGGGAAGATTTATGGAAGAACTCAGAAATCTGAAATCTTGTCACCTAATTTGTATGCTTGATCGTACCTGTCAATTACTATGCAAATAATTTTCAAAGAACATTATTATCATCATCACTTATGAGCAGACATATTTGCAATTAATTGTAGAGCAGAGATTTGTAAACATTTTCAATCTTGTACTCTTGTTTGTTTCTTGAAAGATCACTCATGAATATATGATTAGTTCTTTTTTATCTTTATTAGGTTTATTGGTACAATTTAGGTATGCAATACAGTTACATTCATCATTGGGATCTTGTACTTTTACATGATGTATCTTGGTTCTTTTATATTTTCCTCATTCCTGGCCCTCCCTTCACCCCCTCCACCCTTCTCTGTTTACAAAGACTTTGTTTCCATGTTTTTCCTTTTCTCATATTTTTTCTTTTCCCTTCTTACCTTTCCCCTACCCTTCCCTCTTCCTGTACTCCTTCAGACCTTTTCTTCCTATTACATAACATCAATTATATATTTTGATCCTTATTTACGCTTTTAGTTTTTCACACCAGAGACACTATTTGGTATTTACACATATGTCTTAGTTTCTTTCTGACCTTCATATAATATAATGCTGCATATTACCAATGCCCATTGTGAACTCAGTGGCTTTTAGAAATACTTTGACTGACTTTATCGAAATACACTTGTGGATTAGATTTTTAACGCCTTTGTTTAGATCTGTGGTCCTACTATGTCAACGCTTCTGCAAGGTTCTGAGGTTCTGATTTTTGTTCTGTCATTATTTCCCAACAGAAAACCACATGCCAGCATTTTCACATGATGTGGTGTAACATTTATAAAATTAAATTTGTACTTATATTTACCATCTTTGTTCCTTGATTTCAAATTGTCTTTCATCATTGTAGATACCTGCTTTGTTATGATACCCATGAACATAATGTTAGTTTTTCAGATGTCTCTGCTTTGACTGAAATCTGAATGCCATAAGTTATATCTAAATGAAACTCAGATGCCCACCTTAGATGCGCACTGTCTCCATGTTTGACCACATTTTTAGCACAGATGTCTTCATTAGGAGAAACGGCCTTTCCCTTCACGCCATCACAGCTGATGTGAGACTCAGTTCATTGTGTCACTTCGGTAAAGTTATGTTTTATATAAAAAAGAATATTGAATTGTTTCTTGTAAAAAATTCCTGTTTACATTAAAATAAATACAATAAAATATAACATAATATAAATGTATAGTTTCTACAATAGTATTACCATTTCTGCCTGAATAGTCAGGGTTTGTGTTTACAGATACCAGAACCTATTTACAAGGTAATACTTATATCTGAATACCCCATATGACATACTAGGCAGTCTTTACATTTCTTAAGTGGGAACACATGTCAGATTCTTTCTTTTTTTTTTTATGCTTTACAGGGTTGTCATGTCCTTTACTACTTCTTCAAAGGGGAAGGGAAAAGGAATTCAATATTTAAAAATTGGAGATCTTTAGTGTTTATTTCATTCATTTATCTATCTTGTGTGGAAAAGCATTCATTTTTAAAGAAATTAACTTTCTTGTTTTAAAAAATTTTTAAACACTGACTGAAGAGATGAACTACAGCTCATTTTAATGTAGATATTAAAATTTCTCATAATGTAGAAGTTAAAAATACAATTTCTCTGATAAAACTAATCATGAATTCTGTGAATATTAGTCAGCTTTTTTAAGAAAGTATTTTCTTTCTTTATGTGAATTATTTCTTGAAATTTGAGATAGAAAAGTTTTTATTCTTACAAATACCTTACAGATACACATTTTAGAATTTATCCTTACATGATACCTTCTAGGGAATTATGGGTAAGTACTAAGCACTCTTCCCTTTACGGAGCACAAAAGGGGTTTAAATGAGAACACCACTCCTTTTCTTTTAGAACACCATTCTTTGTAATACTCCTAGTCTCCTGTTTGAAGTACTTAGTTGCAGGCAGCTGTGAATGATGGTTAAAATAAGAGTGAGTAGATTAAATTCCAGCTAAAGGCTCACGATACTCAATGTGTGAACTGACCCAATGTCGTTTTCTTTAATAACGACAGAATCTCAGATTACAGAAGATGATAAATAGGTCTACTCTAAGAAATGCTGTGGGCATGCATGAAATAGTTAAAAATTAATCGAAAAGTAACCATTGTCACATTAGGAAAAACTTGATTGAGTGGAAATTAGTGGCTCCGAAAACTATGCCGGCATGATGTGCATAATTATAACATCATTCCCATAGGCAGGGAGCAGGTTGTTATTTCCATGTGAGTACATTTAACTTAAGAATGACTGAATATTTTCAATATGTAATACTAGATTAGTTGTGCTTTTATCCACTTAAATCTATAGAGAACTCCAAATCTAGTATCCTTGTATTATCAATAAGGAAAATATGAAGGAGAGACATAAGGTTCTGCTAGCAAGACAGCCTAAATATCCTCTGCCCTATATTTAGTGCATAGTTACTCACTCTCATTTTTATTGAAGAACGCTGTCTCATAAAACAAACTTTAATATATTTCCATTATTTATTGCATATATTGAAAACCTAATGTTGACATGCTTCTTAATTTCCTGCGGCTTAGCTGAGCTTTTATTTAAACTAATTTTTTTTTAATTGAAGGAAATCTTGAAGTGCAAAAGTAGACTGAAGTATTTTCTCAAAAGCAACAACTTATTCTCAGGATTCTAGTAATATGATTCTTTAAACAGAATATTCGGCAAAAGCCATTATTAGGTTAGAAAAAATGTAGCATGCGTATATGAAGAAGTGCGATTTTGAAAGAAGCTACATTTAATGTTTCTATTTTTCTATGAGCAGAACATATAGATTGTATTGTTCGCTGTAATTTGATGCTTGTTGAACATCTTTGCTTTAGGAAAGGTATTTCTTAATTAATCTGTGAAACAGAGGAAAAATACAGGAGAGTCTACTTCATATGCAAACACGGATAGAGGTTCATTCTTTTAAAGAAATCAAAATTCAATTCCATTCCTTTTGCCACCATTGTTCCCTACCCATCTTATATAGACTAAAATGAAAAAAAAAAATCATTCAGTATTTTTCTGTGAAGTCTAAAGCGATGGAAAAGTCTGACTGCTCACAGGTTATCATGGAGCAAGGATTTGCGCTCCTGTAAGTATTCCATCTGCTCCTCTTTTTGCCTTGCACACGAAATCACTAATGCTGCGCAGTGCTTGCACTCTGAAGTGCTTGGTGTTCACGACCTAAATTTATTATCAGATCTCAAATTTATCAACAGAACTAAATTATCCACTGCCACATCCATCTGTACATAAAGACTACTATTTAACATTTCATGTATCATGAAAATTTCAGACGTGGTGACTGGGACCAAGGCTTTAAAACAGCATAAATATCACCGGGGATGATTTACCAACCTCCGTAGTGTGGGCATAGAGAAAATGGATTGATTTCTTAATCACCCATAGGGTCATTGCTATATGCACGTAACAAGAATCTCTAGGATTTTTAAATAAATCAACATTAAGGAATGAGTTATACTCTTATATAATTTCTCATATCCATTTCTATCACAAGGTATAACACCACATTTTTTTAGAAAAACACGAGTATACAGGATGAGAAGATGATTCGTCCAAAATCAAATTCTGCATATATTTTGAGTACAGTTATTTAAAAGCATATTAGAATTGCGGCATGAAGCAAAGTGAGGAAACCTTCTTTTCCATTCACAAAATGTAGTTTCAGAAAGTGGGAATCATCATTGACCTACAGAAGGACATATTTGTTTCCTGTTTGATTGAGTAAAATTATGCGTCTGGAGCAGCTACAGATGCTACTGAATGAATGCGCTTCCTTCCAAGGCTTTGTTAACGAGTCTGAACCGCTGATCGAGTGCCAGTCTCTGCCAGCCGTGCTTTCCTTTGCCATGTTTGCATGTTTGAATGATGCTTTGGGGGCTCCAGAACTTAATGTAATATGTTAATGTAACATGAAGCCATACATGTCAGAGCTCCGGAGATATCCATAGTCCAAAATGATTATTAGCAAGGTGACACTCACCCTAGGAAATCTGGTGTCAGCTGCTCCTCCCTGAGGCAGTCCCAAATCTAAGATCCAAAGTTTTATTTCCATTATCACAAGAGGAATTTGCATGCAAATTAAATATCAAAGAGGTATATTTTGATAATGGCTATTGCAAGACACCAGTTTCAAGGATTGCTGCTTATTTCTTTTGAATTGAGAGGGTTAACGTTATCACACATTTGTTTACTATGCTAAGGTGCAAGAATCTATATACCTCTTAGGTTCCTGTAGAATTCTGCTCACAAAGTCTGTTTTCAGTATTAGTTAAATAAAATAAATGTCAGGATGATTTCCCACCATTGTATTTACAAAGTTGTTAAAAAGAAATACCAATAATTGGTCTCTCTAGAGGAATATGCATTAAAGGCTGAAAGAGTAAAGTAATGCCTACCAAAATTATGAACAATGTATTGAAATAACTTAGATCTTAGTTGGCAGATCTAATGCAGTTGCATAGATTTGTGTTTTTCTGTCCATTTCACTGTGATGAGGTGAATCAAGATGTCTTAAGGGCTCATGAATGACAAAATGCGTCTAAATATAGTACTAGGAATAAAATTTTAATTTATAAAATCCCTGCTGTGCATCTTTGTACTTTAAATAACATGTGTGTATGGGTATATTATTTCATGTTTACTCAAAAATTATATAGCTCCACCAATAAATTGTATTTCTCAACATGATCAAAATAATTGTATTTTTCAGTGTCATAAGGTTGATTTATTAATATAGTAATATATTAGTAAGTACACACTAGAAGATGACATTAAGTAAAGTATATTTTTTATTTTTATATCAAATTTTCCTAACATTTTAAATATCCCACAATGGGGCCAGGGATTGAGCTCAGTGGTTCCGCCGTCTGCCTGCCTCACAAGCGCTAGGACCGGAGTTCGATCCCTGGTACCAAACAACAAAACACAGGAATTAAATATCACAGAATATGTAACCAAGAAATTATCCATTGGTAAATGTGTACTAGGTATATTATAAAGTTGTTTTCAGGCCACTTTGTCACGAGAGTACTGTGCCAGTCGGCCATTTGGCTCTTTTTTGATTAATGTGGCAATAAATAAAAATTTTATCTTCAATGAACTCAGTTTTGCGGTGGGATCTTATAAATAGTAAAATCACTTCCTGTTTCACTAAAAGTAGTTATTTTTACTTCGCTGGTTGTTTAATGTTACATGGTTAATCATGTACATCCATTCAGTATTCATCAACATATCCCTTTACCAAAGCCCTGTCATTGTGTAGACACAATCAAAATATCATTCCCTCATTCATTTATTCATTCATTGATGTGACACAAAATTTTATTGCCAACTTTGAGTAAGTCCTAACTCCCTGCTGGAGTTTATAAATGAGTACTGGTTATGGTCATTCTGGAAGCTCGCAAGGACTAAGTTGTGAGTTTAAAAACACACTCGAATGACTTACAGCATTGTAGTGTGGAAATTATACCACTAGAGAGGTAGGGAAAGCTACTGTGTTCAGAGGAGAAATTGTATATTAAGCTGGAATATCAGAAGGAATTAGAGGGCAAAAATTGAATGGAACTTTGATGACTGGACATTGTTAGGAAAAACATGCTTAGGGGAAGAACTAATATGGACAAATGTATAGAAGCACAGAAAAAATTGGTGATTTCAGGGAAAGTGTAGTATATCTGAAGGAGATAATTCAGGAAATGTGCTAGAGACATAAGAAGTTGGTAGGAAGGTAATTCAAAAGAAAAATGTCTTGTAGCTGGGCATGGTGGCACAGGCCTATAATCCCAGCACTCGGGAGGCTGAGGCAGGAGGATCACTGTGAGTTTGAGACCAGCCTGGGGTACAATAGTGAGTTCTAGTTCAGCCTCAACTACATAGTGAGACCCTGTCTCAAAAAAACCCAAAGGAAAAAAAAAAAAGATTTAAAAAAAGAAAAATGTCTTGTAATTTGTTTATGATCCAGTAAACTTGGGGAAAGGAATTATGAGATAGCGGGAGGGCTATCATTTCAAAGTCATTTAAAATAATCCTCATGAAAAATAATTATGCCTTAATTGAGAAAGTAGTAGAACTAAGAAGAGATGGATTGTAATGTTTACACTATATAATGCTTGGACTCTGACAATTTGTTGAGAAGCTTGAAAGATTAATCATTAGGTCTCAAGGCCATGGTGGTGTTAATAACAAGAAAAGTAGAAGAGAGAGCATGGTGATCAGAAGGAACAATACACTAATTTCTTTTACAGGTCCATTGAATTTGAAATGCCAGTGGAATATCTCTTAAAATAAATATATCAGAAATAAATACAGTTTTCAAAGGAATCGAAACTAGAGGGTGAAAGGTATTCAATAAACTGATGAAAGTGGGTGAATTGGGCAGAAATAATCAGAGAAATTTGTGCAGATCTTTGGATATTCATCAGAAAAATAATTAAATATTTTAACCTTTCAAGAATGAGTAAAAACTAAGAGCCATTAGGTGAGAGGTTAAATTGCTATATGTGATACTTAGAACAGATTTTTGTCAGTAGGGAAAACAGTTTTCAAAGACTTGCCAATTAGTGAGCACAGAGAGAGAGAGAGAGAGAGACAGAGAGAGAGAGACAGAGAGAGAGAGACAGAGAGAGAGAGAGAAAGGATTTAGAGGATAGACCTATGAAACACTGCAGGCGGTGGTGAATTCCACTGAGATCTGTGTAGGTAGGAGTGAAAACTAGATTGCAACCTAAGAAAACATTCAGGGAGGGCGCAGAGGGCCATTGACCTTTTGGTAGTTCATCAGGAAAGTGGCCAAAGAGGCGGGGCCTCTGAGCTGTGGGTGGGTGTAAGAGGAAGGAAACAGCAGGTCTGGTGTATTGCCGCATGGAGAAGAGAACTTTAAAAGTGGGCTTGGAAGGCTTCATACTTAGTGAAGTCTACGCAAGAGTATTTGCTAAATATTTGTGAGGATAACAGCTTGGAAAATTGCTTTCATTCAGAAGGAGGGTTGGTGGTATTTCTTGTTACTAGTATGAAAATCAGCTCAGGGTTGCAGTAAATCATTTGTGTTTCTGCTTCTGGGCTCGGTGTGATCGAGTCTCCACTTTCAGATATGGCTAATTGTAGCTTGCTTTGTTCCAGGCGCTGTGGCTACAGCAAAGCAAAGCAAGATCCAGAAGAGGAAAAGATGCATTTTCATAATGGGCACAGTAAGCAAATTGTACAAAAAAAAGAGACTTTTCTGTTATTTGTTTTCAGGGTAGAGCATTTATAATAACTGACAAGAATGTTATATTACAAAAGCAAGTGTCTGTTACATTATTATAAAGCCTATGGGCGTAGACATTGCTGATTGGCTATGGGAAAAACTACATATTTTACTTTATTCTTTAAAAATATTTTCATTATAATCATTAAAATAAAAACCTTTCATCAGTACAAAGGCTATTATATTCCAAATCAAATTCCCATACTTATTCTAATTCCTAGCAACATAGCAAGTAGAAACACATCATTCAATAACACCGGGTTAAATGAATAAAATTTCTGTTGCTTCTTCTAGCTTCAAAAGGAGAATTTCCCTAAAATTCCCTAAAGAATCCTGTGGCAATGGCCTTTGTTGAAATGAATTTAAAAAAGGACTATGTTTTTAAGAAATGCATAAATTCAGGATTTAATAATGAGCTTAAAATTGGTTTAAATTAGTTCTAATTATGGTGTTTTAGTATGTTCACTTTCTCATAGAGTACAATGTAAGGTGATTTGCCAAATAAGTGAGTTTCTTTTATTTTTGTCACTGTGCCATGACCATAACATGCTAAAAAACATTGACTCCATTTCATTGCCCTCACGATAACATGGATTATCATCAAAAAGCACTATGAGTGTGATACTTGTAGTCTTCGAAGTGATAAACTGGGGTTTCAGGAACACAAGAGTCTCCCAAAGAGTCATGCAGCAACAGACAGAGTAAAGCAGAGTGAGGAGTGGAACTTCTCTTGTTCTTTTGACTTCTAACCAGTCTATTTGCGCTGCACCACTAATATTTTATACTACTTTAAAAATGGAAATCAATTATCTGGGATTATCTCTCAGTGAAGCACATAGCAAACCAGCACATAAACCACTCTCATTTCATCGTCCAGGTCAATAAGTAAAATGTTCTTAAGTCTTCTCAGAGACCAACTTTGTGAATATTATCCTTGAAACATCTATTTGCTCAGATGTTACCAAATATACATTTCTTGCACTTGGTAATAATTCAGGTTTTTTAAATTGTAAAAGTGGTGTAATTGTATAAATGGTTCTCGTAACTCAGGAGACAATCTGTCCTTGTAGCTCAACTATTTCTAGGAATTAGAGATTTAAGCCAGACCAGCATGTTAATAAAGTTTATAATTTTGCTCATCCATCACAACTTGAAATTCGATGCTCATGTATTTTTGTAGTTAAACTCCCTGGAGTAAGAACCTATATTGATCCACATACCTATGAAGACCCCAACCAAGCTGTGCATGAATTTGCCAAGGAGATAGAAGCCTCTTGTATCACCATTGAAAGAGTTATTGGAGCAGGTAGAACAATGTGTTTAACCCTGACTTTTAATTTGTGTTGGCCTTATCGAATGCAATATGTGCATGACTTGCTTTAATGCTGAATAGGTTTAATATTTCCCAGTTGATGCACTTTCAAAGTGATATGCGGTTGCTCACATTTTACTGCAACCTTCTGGATATATATCTCTTAAAATTGATAATGAAATTTGGACTCCTACTTTTTACCTTATTTTTGTCTAAGTTTTAATCCTCCAAGAGTACATTAGAGTAGTATTAGAATAAGATTTTCCAATAAGTTTCTCCTTTTTTCCCCCTACCTTTATCACCAGGTGAATTTGGTGAAGTTTGTAGTGGACGTTTGAAACTACCAGGAAAAAGAGAATTGCCTGTGGCTATCAAAACCCTTAAAGTAGGCTATACTGAAAAGCAGCGGAGAGATTTTCTCGGAGAAGCAAGTATCATGGGGCAGTTTGATCATCCTAACATCATCCATTTAGAAGGTGTTGTAACCAAAAGTAAGTATCTGTCTAGATTGCTGTTAATTTTTAACTTAATTTTGACTTTCATTTCAATATTTGATCATTCATTGCCAGGGAAAATGTATAAAGATAAAAAGATGCAGTAAAAGTATGAACAATTTCTTGCTACTGGCTTTTCCACTTTTTATATGAATAAAATAATGACTTCAAAGTTGAAGCATTAAAGTTTAACATTTAACAGGATTTCTGTACCTACAGGTACTTTTTAAGCAATTCTGCCACTTTTTAAGCAATTCTGTAGCCAGGTGCACTCATTTTATTCATTTTTAGTTAAAATATGTTAATGGCTGTAGAGAAAGCAACTGTCTCAGGAGCCTGCCAAAGTTCCTTGAGACTTATTTTTTTGGTGTTGTTGTGATTTTTGTTAAATCAAATCTAGTTTTCACTCAGAGCTATCTAGAATTACACATCTTTTAAATTTTGATTAGTACCTTGTACAATTATCTGTGTAGAATGCCTCCTAATAAAGATTTCTAATTGTTCTCCAGTCACATAATAAAGAATTTATGTGACTCTAAAATGAGAATCTTCTTTTCTTTTTTTTCTCATTGAGTTTATTGGTACATTTTAGGTATACAATACAGTTATATTCATCACTGGGATCTTGTACCTTTACATGATAGGTCTTGATTCTCATTTTTCCCCTTACCCCTGCTCTCCCTTCACCCCCTCCTCCCTTTCCTATTTGCAGAAACATTTTTCCATGTTTTCATTTTCTCACATTATTTTCTTTTCCCTTATTTCTTTTTCCTATCCTTCCCACTTCCCCTACACCGTTTGCCCTTTTCTTCCTACTTCACGTTGTCAATTATATCATGTGGATCTTATTTACACTTTTAGTTTTTCTCACCAGAGAAACTATTTAGTATTTACATGGTGACTTATTTATTCACTTAAGAGTATAGCCTCAGTATGCATCATTTTCCTATGAATGACTCTAATTTTTCATTCTTTGTGGCTGAGTAGTACTTCACTTTATAGAAAAAAAACACATCTTATTTATTCAGTCTACAACTGATGGGCAATTGGGCTGTTTCCAAGTTTTATCTATTACAAACTGTATTGCTATAAACATAGGTGCACATATATCACTGTGGTATGATTTTTTAAATTCTTTTGGAAAGATACCAAGCAGAGGAATGGCTGGGTCAAATGGAACCTCTAATCCTAGTTATTTGAGGTATCTCCATATCGATTTCCACAGTGGTTGCACCAGTCTGCACTCCCACAAACAATGGAGAAGGGTTTCTTTCTCCCCACATCCCCGTCAACATTTTTTATTGATTGATTTCTTGATAGGAGCCATTCTGTCTGGGGTGAGGTGGAATCTCAGAATTGTTTTCATCTGCATCTCTCGAACGAGAACCTTATTTTCTTTTAGTCCACTTATTCTTTTTCACTCATGTATTTTTTCCTTCTGTTTTCCCTTTTAAAATAACATTTCTAAACTTTCTTCTGAGCATTTGTTCAACTTTCATGTTTTGAATCATGTCAGAATATATGTACAAGAAATATTTGCTCAATAATGCTCTATTTCTATGTAATCTCAATATCTTTAATGTACGTTTATCCCATATGACTTTTAAATATAGGAAACAAAACAATAATTTTTCACAATAAAGAGGTAGTAAGAAACATAACACAATATGTACCTAGTCTGTAAGGATCCCCATATTCAGTGAGCTACAGATAGAAACATAGAAACACTTTCCACGTCCTAGGAAGTGAACACAACAAAAAGTGTCTTGTAGATGATTGATAGAAATTTTGAATCAGCTTGTATTTCCAGGAGATTGTTGTTTTTGGTATTTCAAGGACATACATAACTCCAGGTAAGTTGCTTCTAGGCCCATGGAATAAAGGAACAAAATAACCTGTAACGATGTGTGTTTCCTCAAAACATGGGGATGCTCCTTCCTCGAGCTGAATATATTCCATAGATTGCTTTAAAATCATGACAATCCAGAGATGAAATTGCTGGAGTAAAAAGGGCGTTCTGAGAAGTTAGTAGGAAAAATAATAAGCTGTTAAGTAAAGGTGGGACAAAGAAGAGACAGACAGAAGACAATTTAAAAAATCATAATTTTTGAAAGAAATGAAAAATATTTTATGACATTTGTATCCTATGATAAATGTGCGGTAATGTATGAAATAAGATCTGATATAAAAATACGGTGTCGGATACAGTAAAGTAAAAATCAGGCTTTGAGTTTGGCTGCGTTGTATCGCAGCTGAAGAAGCACTTCAGAGGGTATCGGTGGTAGTGGGCAGTCACTGACCCCGACACGGGGATGCAACGAGAGGCAGAAGCAGGAGAACTGGGCCAGGAGTTCAAGCCCAGCCCAGGAAGCAGGGAGATCCCTTCTCAAAGTTAAATCAATCACAAAATCACAATACATTTATTTCCTAGGCAAGAATCTTGTCAACTGATATAAAATAGTAGTTCTTAGTGATAGTACTAGTAATAAGAGTAAGCAAAGATTTGACAAACTTTATGTCTTCATTTCTTCCTTTACCTGGCTTCTAAATTTAACTTCCTAAAAATAAACTCTCACTATGCCTTCCCATGACCCAGAGTAAATTTATGCTCTGTAGGCAGCTGGTCTACCTTCCATAATGCGTTAAGATGTGATGATTTTTGCAGTGCCAGATCATTATTGCTATCAAGGAAGCCCATATTATATACACTGATCAAGAACAGGGACTAAAGATCAAGTGATTCTATTTTAATTTTGTTTCTGCTGTAAATTACTATGTGGTTTGGAAAAACTTAAATATCCAGAACATTTATTTCCTCATTATCATGTTATGATAGAGATGATATGAATTAATGCAGGTAAAATTTATAACAGAAATGGCACAGAGTAAATAGTGACACTTATATAGTTATTATATTTCAAATTAAGTCTCTTCCCATGCTAAGATCTCCTCTATATCTATATTATTTTTAATCTTAATGTACCTTATATTTTGTTTGCTATGTTAATTCTTTCTCTGAAATTTACACCTGTATTCATTAGCTTATCTTGTAAGTTCTTTCAAAATCCTCTTACTTTCTATCCACCCCCCGAGATAATTGCTTATCACTTTGCCTGGAAGTAATCTTTCATTCTTGAATGCTGTGCCTATACTGTATAAGAATTTTTGCAAGCCTATCATATTCTTTCTTTTGGTCAAAAGGTCTTATTCAAATCAAAAGTCTTAATTTAATAATCATTTGCATATATTTTTCAGCTCCCTAGCTACGCAATGTATGCTCTTTGAAGAGATAATAATGTCCTCACTATTTATGTAAAAGTATTGCATCAAAATCTGTGTCAGTCCCCAGATAACTTACATTAAATACTTTAAGGCTCTCAATATCACACAAAAAGGAGATGAAAGCACCATCTACCTTAACAAATACTCATAGAAATTAAATCTGCATATGTATATAGGTGTTCATGAATAAAGTTGCAGATTATATTCGTGAAGTGTATATTTTAATTGATTTCAATGTATCATATTTTAGCAGTGTTCAAATATAGAAATAACATATATCTACATTTATAGACTCTTGATTTGTTACATTATAGGTGTCATTTTATATGTCTGAGAACTGAATGAACTAAAACCAGGAAAACTTATATGAATACAGCCAAACTGCATGTATTTTACATGCTTTTAATCCCTTTTATTTTCAGAAGCTAGTATTAATATAAACAAATGATCATACATAGAGTCTGTGCATTCCATTCGAAAATGCTACTGTGTTTGGAAAGATATTTTTCAGTTTCCAATGTGCTATTCAAGTATTTGGTCCGATATTGCTGCCACCATAAAGTTACACATATAAGGAAAGCAAAAGGTAAATGCTTAAAAATATGTCTGTGTTTTTAAATTTCTTGCCTGTGTGAATCGACAATGTACCATCCTCTTTCAAATGTAGCTCTTGATGTTCAACTTAGGAAACCTTCAACTTATTCTTAATTTACCATGTTGCAACTTACTTTACTTGTGTCCTTCATTTCATGCTTTCTGATCTGATGCTAATTTATTCAGCAATTATTAACAACCTGCAGCTCACAGATAATGAGACATAAGTGCAACCACATCTTGTGATTTTTCTGATTGAAGCTGAGTTGGGGAGTCTGAATAGCACCCCGTGAGTGGTGTCATCCAGAGCCTTGGTCTTTCCTGCCCTACTGCCAGAAGCTTGTGGCCAGCCGCTCCGCCCCACCCCCGCGGATTCCTTCTGCAAGTCTTGAGAGAGGGTGCCTCATAAATACATATACAGACGGATTCTAGAGAAGTTTCTTCACAAATGACGTAAAAACCCCACAGGTCCCGGCTTAATTGACTCATTTACAATGCAAGACACTTTAGTGAAATGTACACAGTGCCAGATTTTTACTATTTAATGAGATTCAGAAAAAAATAAAAGGAGAAAAAAGTTAATAATTTTCCCCTTGCAATATACAAAATTCTTTTCCCACCAGTTGAAAATTACCCAAACTGTCTAAAGAAATGTTTCTGTTAAGGCTTAGAATTACTCATAGCTTTATTTCTTAATTTAGAATCATGTACAAAGAAGCTTATTTCTTGTATAGAATTAAAACACTTAAATAAATTAGAGGAGTCTTTTTTTCTGTGTCCAAGGAGATTACACATTTAATGAAAAGTGATTACT